AACTGGGAGTACGTTGCTGCTGAGTTTGGCTTCTCCAATAGCAGAATTATGGTTCGCATTTTTTTTCATCAGCTCTTACCAGAAGTCGAAATCATCACCAAAGTCATTTAACGATTGCACAGGACAACTGGCAAAGTAAATTTTTCTCAGTGATAAAGTTCCATTTGCAGCACTTACGTACATCCACGAATCCAACTTCGGCTGTATTACAAGAGATTGCTTTTCGTCCATTAAAAGACTTGCTCAATGTTTTCGTGAAATTGAACCGGGTTGACGTTCTTCTGTCACTTCAGCCTTTCCTCGAAAATTTGTTATCTGGAGAAAGTGCAGAAACGGTCAGCACTGATTCAGGTTTGTTATGTTTTGCTTATAAGGTATTATCGGGAAAATTTGGGGGCTTAGTGTGTTTTGGTGAGAAGAATCTCTTTTCCGAACACTCCTAAAAGGAGAAACAAATGGGAGCAACGGGGGCTCACGCGCATTCTCTGTTAGCTATTATAGACACATTCAAGAGTTCTGTTTTCCTTGTGTCACACTGTAAATTCGAGCTGCAAAATGCCGTTTGCTTAGCTCATTTTAAATTTTTAAAATCGATTTGAATTTGAATCTGAAATCGTAAAATAAATCCGTGATTGAAGCTTCAAAACTGACTTCTTGCCTTCCAGGCGCAATGTTTTATAAAATTAAACTGCCAAAATGTCAAATTTTTTGCATTTTTATTTGCAAATTTTGCTTGGTTTCGGGTCTAAGATGGAGGGTTGCTGTGCTAAGAGGTTTAAAAATCGATTTCTTGAGCGCTGCCTTGTACGATAGCGGTTCCACATTCCTGACAGTTTTAGTTGCCTAACTTGCGTAGTTCTTCAGATGAATTTTTCAAACACGAAAATATGCATTACATCCGTAAATGCACACATAATACATACGCAAATGCATAATTACAACATGTATAAGTAGATCGATACATATATGTGCATATATACATACACACACATTCATTCATACGTACACTCACATACATACATATGAAACATAGGCTCGTAACAATCTGTGCAAGAAGCAGTCCAGCTGGTGGCGTATCAGGCTTTCTGGTGCGGTCACGCGTTTTTGCATGATTCCATTCTAGACATTCGATGCGCCTGTACGCAGGGCCTATACTTAGGCATAAGCTCATCTTTCGCTTGATGGCTCAAGCATGAGCAGCCAGCATAGTGTTGGCATTTTGCCGACAATGTCAATCTCAGCTTTGCTTTGTTTATATATATATCTGTAAAATTTGAGCTTCCTCTCTTGTGTGATTCCCAAAATGGCTTTCTTGCCAAAAAGTTTATGTTTTCTTTTAGGCATCAGCGCGAGAGACCTAAAGCGTGCATGAATGATAATATTAATAGGGAGGGAAGAAAGGTCGCAGATGGAGTGGGGGCATGTTTCAAAAGATTAGTGCTTACTAGCTTTTTTGATTGTTAAGTTGAAAGTGGGTGAAAAAAATGCGAACTCACAGACACACGCACACATGCACAAACACACACACCCAAGCAACCTCTCGTC